TCCACTCACCTCAGCCTCCCAAGGTGCGGGATTACAGGCTGAGCCACTGAGCCCAGCTTCCCCTCTATGTTTATCCCACCCTGACTCCATATAAAAAGTAAACTGGTGCGCTCTGAATCCTCCATTTCTCCTCTGCATCCTTCACACGTATCCCTTCAGGTCTCCTACAACCTCTCAACACCCCCAAGTCACACATCTCCAGCCTAAGTCCTGGATCATGGGCTAAAGGAGGCCTAGGCCCACTTGCTTTTCACCCTCAGCATGGTCTGCCGTGGCCTGTCAATCACATTGCCAAATTCATCCACACTGTCTCCTTCCATCTTCAACACCAGCTATCATGCTTGCCCCACCCATAACAGATGCCCTCCCTGACCACCACCCTCTTCACTGTCCAAGCAAAGCTACTTCCAAACTCACCACAAAGTCAGGATCTGTGTCCCAGTCATCACCCTGGGTCTCCACGGAAACAGATACATCATGCCCCACTACAGACTTCCACATCTGAGAGTGACAAGAGATAGGAATAATCAGGGACACAAAAGAATCAAGAGGCGGGAAAAGGGGGATGCTGAAGTCAATGATATAGCAGACCAATATTTCTGCCATTTTTTTTTTCCTAGAAGAAATTCGAAGCTGAGGCAAAGCAAATAGGACTAACTAGGAAGGTATGTCTGCTCAGCCACAGGAAGAGGGCTAGGAGTTTACTCAAGACAAACTGATGTGGCCTGGGCCCATTTGAGTCTAGAGAGAAATCATCATGGGTGTAGGTAACACTAAATAACCTGGGAGTCAAAACTCCTGTAATTGTTACTTGTGTCCAGAGGCTAGCCAGGCAGCGGCTTGAAGTGGTGATCAATGAGGGGAGCTATAATATGCCTAGAATCATGGTGTCATTTCATTCACATTTCTATATCTAGCTCCTTTCGTAGCTCTCAAAATACAAATTGGTCCAGCTTCTGACAAAGTGAACATCTACACTCATCTCTACAACCTGCTTATCTATACTGAAAATCTTGTCAACCCCCAATGCAAGTGCTATCCTACCTCCACCCTGAGGCTGGTCACTACAAAGCTGTATGAGATCAGTAGGGACAACAGCAAGCTGAAATTTCTGCACTGAACCACGCTTGGAGAAGCATTATTTACTGGGAATAAATCATATATTACTCAATTTTTAAAAAAACAGTTCAATTATACGACTAAAGAAGATGTGTGGTTTAAAAAAATAACATGCAATAAATCCCTAACTTTGAACATGAAGATGTATTTGATTCTCATCAACCAAAAAATGTTGAAGAAATATTAAGAGAACACTAGATTCAGGGGGTGCCAAATTGTTATTCTGCTGAAGTTTCCCGTGTTCCTAACGGCCTTGACTATCATGCATAATAAGAAAGAGCTGCGTGAAATCCCAGATCTTGGTGTGAAGAGGAAAGAACAGATGATGCTTGCTGCTCTGGTAGCCACTGGGACTTTTTTTTTTTTTTTTTTGAGTTAGAGTCTCACTCCAGGCTGGAATACAGTGGCACAGTCGTGGCCACCGCAGCCTTGACCTGCTGGGCTCAGGCGATCCTTCCGCCTCAGCCTTCCAAGTAGCTGAACTACAGGCATACACCATCATGCCTGGCTAATTTTTTGATTTATTATAGAGACGAGGTCCCGCCAAGTTATCCAGGCTGGTCTCGAACACCTGGGCTCAGGCAATGCTCTCACCCCTGCCTCTCAAAGTGCTGAGATTACAGTTGTGAGCCACGGTGCCCGGCTTGAGACTTCTTGACCCTGGCACCACTTACTAGCCGGCAACATCTCTGCAACCCTTGCCTCCTCCTCGTCCCACTGGAGACCCTCCCCCATGCTCTCCGTGGTCCTAAAGGAGTCCCTTTTACAAGTACTCCTAGGGCTCTCCACCAAGGCCAGCTTTCTATTTCCATTTGAAAGCTCCATCCTTCTTTCATTCTCTTTGAACAGCCCCTTGAAAACCAGCCCAGGGGGAATCGGGGGTAGATTGATTAAAGAGATGCCAAGGGGTCACTGGAGAAGTATTGACCGAGTCAGCCTAACCATGGGATGGGAGCAGGTGGGCCGGCCCGGACGGGGGTGAGGGTAGTTGAAGAAGACCAAGAATCCTGCTGCTCACACCCTTGGCTCCTAGGCTGCTCTGCAACAGGAGGACTTCACACAGAAAACTGGAAAGGAGAAGTTTCTGAAACATTCACGAGCAATAAGGAAGCAATGAGGACCACTGATGTCATCCTCTTTCCCGCTGCTCCTCTGAGGCCTCCGCCTGACTCTCCCACAAACCTCCCACCTTCACCCATCTTGGACATAAAAAGAGGTCCTGCACCAGAGTCAGTTTAATATCTTTGATCCACTGGCCAGAAATCAGGAAGGCCAGAGGTGCTATCTAGACGTGGGGACTGGAGAGTGATCTGGTGAGGCCTAGTGCCCAGACATCAGGCACTACCAAGGGCCTCTTCACGAGATTGACTTATTGCATTGGCAAAGTACAGGGACTGGGAGTCAAAAGACCCCATGATCCCCTCAGCTCTGTGACTAAGCCTCTGAGGGACCATGGCAAGCGAATTAATATAGAAAGGGGTGTACTCAATTGCCAGACTAGGTGATTCACAAATGTTACCTTAAATAATTTGGCAAATCACTGATTATCTCTGATTTCCCCAGTGGAAAATAGATGAAGAGCTAACTTTGCTAGTCTGTGAAGTCCCCTCCATTTCTCACATTCTGGGACTCTGTGATCCTACAATCACAGAAACTAGCCCCAGGGATCCGTGATGCCTTCACACGGTCCCCATCAGCAGCACTTGATTCTCAGCACTAATGTACATTAGCCACTACTTCCTGATCTGTCACATTTCCTATATGCTGTTTGTCTCCCGTGAGATCACACACTCTCCAAGGGCAGATATTATCTTCATCTCTGTGGTCCCCCTCCCAACTCCATGCCGAGGAGCAACAGGCCTGAAAGTGGATTGTAGGTTGTTAGCAGGCCCCAGAGCAGGCAACTCTTTGCTTGGTCTGGGGTTCTAGAGGGCTGCTGAGTCCTGTGCCTTGGGCTTGAGGCCCTCCCTTCTGTTTCCACCCCAGGTGCTCATTCTACACTACCCACAGCCGGGCCATCTGGCCATCAAAGGTTAAAAGGCAACCAGTGAAGACTTTGCACCCCACCATGGACTAAGAACCAGTTGGTCCCTCTGGCCCTGTGCTATGCGACTCCCGCACCGCTCAGATTACCCACCTCCACTAGTGTCAGCGTCTGCTCTGAGCGCCCGGCTCTTCCGTCCACACCCGACTCCCTCTCTGGCTGTTGTCACTTCAAGGCAAGAAACTCTGAGCTGCTGCTTCAGTTCCGTATTCAGGTTTTCTGTCACTTCCTGCCACCCTGTCCTCACAGCTACTTCCTGAAGCTTGAGTCAGTTCCTTCTGCTTTAGGCACTTACATTTTAAAAGGATCAAATGTTTCTGTGCCTGGTCTTTTGCCAAGGTCTTGAGGGTGAGGGTCATGGGGCAGTCACAGAAAATGCTGCTCTTACTCTGTTTGTCATCTTGCCAAAGAAACAAACGTTCAACCAGAAAACACATTAGAAAATGCTGTAGGGCAACGTTTGTGTCCTAAATGGGGGGGGGGGGGGGCAGTTGCATTTGTGATAGTAAAGGAATTCAAAGCACTTGGTATGGGCTGTAGTCATCAAGAAAGGCTTCATGAGAGAAGTGATTTATATGTGGATTCTGGAGGGTGATATTGAAAAAGAAACTCACAGCACTTAAAAGTGGGGTTTTCATCGTAGCTGTTCAAATGAACATTAACCAATTGAATATCAGATGGGAATAACTCATAAGGGAAAATGTAAGGCATGGAGAAAGACAGGTTCAAAGCTTTGGGGGCAGTTGGAGTCTGAGCTTCCTGTTAGAAAGATCTGGCTCCAGACAGTAGAGAGAATTCTGAAAGAACCAGATCGTTCTGGTATCCTGTATTGCTGTTCGTCAAGGTTTGCTGCCACCTTCCCCGCTGCCACCCCCCTCCCCACCTTCCCTCTTGAAGTCAGACATGCTCAGGTGACTTGTTCTGGCCAGTGGCAGACATCACTTTCTGGTGGAGACTAAGACCACTGTGAGTTTTGCCATGCTTTTTCCCTCACTGTCCACCCAGGCACCTGCAATTTTCGAGCGGCTCCTCTGGCAGCCTGGATCCCTGAGAGAGAAAGGCGAAAACTTGCACGGAGCGTCATCCATCATGTGAGGGACTTGAACTATTTAACTAAAAAGCAGTGCTTTATCTGCTGAGAATTTGGGGTGTTTGTTCTTGTATCTGACCTAGCCTCTCCTAATTTTGTCTGTAGAGTTCCTACCTGATTTGCTCACAATAGTTAACTCCCCAACGTGTTCAAGCAGGACTGGATGAAACTGGTCCATGACAGAGAGCAAGTCTGCATTAGGAATAGAAAGCCTCTAAGGTCATTTCCAAATCGAATGATTTTATGCCTGGGGGGAGTTTTATTTACTTATCTCTCCTACTTCATGACCTATTTACCATGGTGGCACCAAAGTTATTTTAAAGGAAGAGTAAATTGTAGAAGGGAAAAGAGTCTTGTAGATCATTTAGAATCCTCCTGTAGTGTCAAAATAGGAATTAGCCCAGATATTATGACACCACCCAGATATATAGTTGTCTAGAGAAACCACAGAATTTAATCAGAGATGATACCAAGAAACCTCACCTCTCCTTAGCAAATGTTCCAAGTTCATTCATGATGAGGTAGTGAGGTGTGGCACACAAAAACAGAATGGGCCTTGAAGTCAGACAGACTTGGTTCAGTTAAGCCACTTATTGTATCTTGAGAAAGTAGGCTAGCTTTTATCAAGCAGCAGCTTAATGTAAAAACATGTCATGTCTATTTAACTTGCTATATGACCTTAAACTTCCCTTCCTTCATTCCCACCCAGAGGGAACTCTAGGGGCCTAACGTTTTCAAGATGTACCAGACAAGCAGTCTCCCAGGACCATGCGTGAATTTCACGCCCTGAGGCCCAGTTTGTTTGGTTCAGCATGAGGATGGAATTTTCTCAATGCACTCATCATCCTGGGGTCCAGTGGCTAAGGCCAGTGAGTGAATGTGAGAGGCAGCTAGCCCTGTACCCGTTCCTGACTGCCCAGTCTCTACTTTCCTCCCCATAGCATGCAAGCACAGGCATGTAAGCACCTGTGCACACATACCTTCACACTCACATACCACAACTCTTCATTCTGAAAATAATTTTATTATCTTACAGTTTTTTAGGAAAACTGCTGGGACGTTGTGACCGAGATGTAATCACCATAGAAGATTTAGAGTTTATCAGTCAGCCTATCAGTCTTCTCTCTTCTTCCAAGGTGAGGATAGGTAGGGAACATACTCCGTACATAATAAGAAAAGTGGCAACTGGTAGGGTGAGGGAGAGGAGAGGAGGGAGGGAGTAGGCACAAGTGGAATTCAATCCTGACAGGCCTTCTCAGGTCTAGATTTAAATATTTTGTCTTCTCTATATTCTCCTTCCATTACCACAGAGGGCAGAGGCTATAGGACTGACAAACTGAAATAACTGTCACTAACTGCAAATAGCCTAGTATTCCGAGAGGCTGGGAGTTTGAAGAGTGGTGTCAGACCAGTCAGACTCCAGGCTGAGGGCCAATGCCTCATCTAGGACTGGCCCCTCTGGCCGTGGGCACCGTCTTGGGGTCTACAGTCCCTATACACATAACACGAGGATGACAGAAATCTGAACCCTGCTGTCCACAGACAGTTCTTTCCTTTCAGTGAAAGACATAGGTCACTTAATACCTTAATATTCATGTGATAAAGGGCAAAAGCAATGGCATCCTTTCCTTACAATCCAGGACCACAAATTGTTCCTCCAATTATGTTGAACAGCCAGGGAAGAAGATGCTGTCCTCTGTGATCTAACAGCTAAAACCCCTGGAGAGTTCTTCAGTTTCCTATTCTGTGAAACCTAATCAGATGTCCTGTGAGGTGATGTGTTTAATCCCTTGAACGCTGCTTATGGCAGAGCCACCTTCCTCTGGAAGCAGGAGAAAATACAGGCAAACGAAGCAAAGAAAGTTATCAATCAAAATGATACTGAACTTCAAATTATTAGATTTATTGGAAACATCCTCTTGGCTTGACTGAAAGACATTCCTCAATTATCTTTTATAGAACCACAAATGATCAGGACCCTGAAAAATCTGAACAAATATTAGGTCAACAAACTAACTGTGGGACTTCTCAGATTAAGCAGATGTTCGGGCCCAGGGCAGTAGCAGAAAGCAGACTTGCTGGTCTTTGCAGCTCCAACCTGTCCTCAAAGCCACCTCTGTTTTTGCAGGCACTTTCCGTGGAGAGTTGAAGACCTGTAAATGGGAAGACTGTTCCATTGGAACTGATAGTTCTGATGTTGAAGATGAGGAAAGTTTGGAAGTCCAAAAAGTGAAAACCAAGTTTACAGATGACCCGAGAAGCATAGAATGAGTAGAACATGAATCATCAGAAAGTAGATGGCTGCTAGTAGCGGCACTCGGGTCCGGGAATGGCAGAGCGAACGCAGGACCCGCTTCCATCCAGCGCCACTCCGGGTCTGCAAGAAAAATCTGAAAGTCAGAGAGTTTTTACCCTATAGGAGAGTATGTTCCTCTCCTTCCCCAGTCATCTTGCATTTAAGCAAAGCTGATCCAACCACTACAGAAAAGGGGTATCCTGAGAGGAAAGTCCCCTCAGGGTCAATAACGTGGCAAATTCTACTAGGTTTTCTCCAATCTTTCATACCCTTCCAGGCTTAGACTCATCAGCTTCTCAGTGGCTGGACTTCCACATGCCCTGTCTTGGCTCCCACATAGCCAGCCCTGTCTGAGAGTACAGCCATTTCTCTTCATCCTCTTCCTTCTTACCCTTTGACAACTGTTACTTGTGATGTCCATTATCACTGACTGCTCCTGACTGCCACAGGAGCCAATGATAGGAGTTCGGGCAGAGTCCCATTCACTGTGTTCCAACCTGTGTTGAGGAAAAACAAGAGGCATGGTATTGGTTCACAGCTTGAGAGGGAAAGGGGACATGAAGCGAAGGCTGCTCCCACAGACCCTGCTCCATGTGAGGCGTGTACCAGCAGACAGGTTTCTTTCAGTAGCAGCAAGAAATGACAATAACTACCAGGAGGTGACTGGGGCTGGATTGAGTGCTTTACATACAGTTAATCCTCAAGTTTTGAGGTTGCTGTGGTAAGGCTTAAAAGAGGTTAAATAACTTGCCCATGTCAGCACAGCCCCTAAGCGGCAGAACCAGAATTTTTTTTTTTGAGTTGGAGTCTCACTCAGTCGCCCAGACTAGAGTGCAGTGGTCGCTCCCGGCCACTGCAGCCTCACCTACTGGGCTCCGGCGATCCTTCCGCCTCAGCCTTCTAAGTAGCCGGAATTACAGGCATGTGCTACCAGGCATGACTGATTTTTTGATTTATTGTAGAGATGAGGTCTCGCTGCCCAGGCGGGTCTCGAACCCGCGGGCTCAGGCAATCCACTCACCTCAGCCTCCCAAAGGTGCAGGATTACAGGCTGAGCACCGAGCCCAGCAGAACCAGAATTTAATAACCAGCTTTGTCTTTAAGTCTCAAGCTCTTTTATTCCTAATACATCACACCTGACCTGGAGAAATTTACTAAATTTTTTCATTTATTAAAGGCTAATAGGCAAATAAGATTCCATGAAGATTTGAAATGGCAGCCTCTATTGCTTTCTGCCTCATTTTGTTGTTGTTGTTGCTGATTTGCTTCTTTAATACTAGAACTTCTCCATTTAATGAAGAAGTTGCTATTACTGACTCAATGGTTCTGTCAAACTGTAACAAAGGAGCTGCAGGTAACAACTGACTAAACATTTACCTCTGTATAGGGATACACTTTTTAATCAGGGTCAGGAGGATGAAATGCTTTCCTCTACTCCTCAAGTTTCCTCCTTATGAAGGGCTAATACTCCTGGCCTCTCTTTGCAGGTCACACTCTTTTCTCCCAGAGAGACACCTTATTGGATTTATGAGTTTGGAAAGAGAAACAGCATGAACAGCCTAGCTCCTGCCTGCCTGCTTCCCTCTTGAGAGTCAGGGCTGACAGTAGAGTACACCTTCTATCTGTTCTTCCATATGATAAGCTTTTCAGAGGCAATCTGTAACAGCATGGTCTGCTACTATGGAGGCCAGTCTGCCAATTTCTGTAGGTTAGGCTGAGGAAGGATGAGATGTCTGTAGGTTTTGGTGAGGCAAATAGTACTGGCTGCTTTAAAACCATAAGACTACTGAGCTCTGCCTACACTACAGAGTACATGCAAGGTTCTAACATTAAAATGGCAAATGGCATTTAATTAGTACCCCAATTTCCATTCTGCATCAGGACCAAAGAAAGAATGTGGTGGGGCTATTGGATTAATGTGACCTGTCCACAGGCACGATTATAATTTACTGTAGCTTCAAACTCCTGCACTCAAGTGATCTTCCTGCCTCAGCCTCCCAAGTATCTAGGACTATAGATACATGCCACCACGCCCAGTTAATTTTTAAATATTTTGTAGAGACAGGGTCTCGCTATCTTGCCCTATCTGGTTTCAAACTCCTGGCCTCATGTGATCCTCCCACTTTACCCTTCCAAAGAGTTACCTGCACAATACAGTCTAAGTTGGCTTAGAATAGGTTAATTACACATGAGAGAGATTAGCCTCTCCAGGGGCCAGATTTTACAGGTCTAAACAATGTGAGAGCAAGTGGAAGAGAAACAGTCATGGGTGCACAGACCTAAAAATGCTTGGCAGAGAGTACAAGACTCGACACAAAGCTGTGTTGTGTTCCTACAGAGAACCACCCTCTAAGTTGCATACCAAGGCCCAAATGGGTGATGAAAGAAGTTGTGAATATACTGGATGGGAAAGAAAGGTTTTTTAATTCTGGCTACTTGGAAGGCTGAGGCGGAAGGATCGCCGGAGCCCAGCAGGTCGAGGCTGCAGTGGCCGAGAGCAGCCACTGCACTCCAGTCTGGGCGACAGAGTGAGACTCCAACTCAAAAAAACCCCAAAAAACAAAAAAACCTGCTCACCAGGACTGCCACCTCTACCACCTAAACTTCGCAAGAAGGTATTAATATCATTAAATGCCATTCTCTGAAGGAAGAGACATACACAGACAGCTGTTTGCACCAAATATAATCAAAGTGTCTGCTTTTGATGGTTCTTTCCATGTAAAGGGACTTCTAGCAGCAAAACACTTGTAGCCACTCTCTACCCTGTCATGCAAAGTGATTCTCTTGACTGTCGAATTGGGAATTGGGAATAGGGATGTGTAGTTTTGTCCTTCCAGATCACACTTGGGGCAAATGGTCCACAAGACACACAGTTCACTCTGTGACTCCCAGGCTCTAGTTTGGCAGGAGGAGGAACTTCTGCAAGAAAAGCCTACTCTGCTCCAACATTGCCTGTGTCTGGCAGGGGAAGTTCCGGGTTAGGAAGCACATTTGCAAACAAATCAAAATCAAAAGCTACTTTTTTTTTTTTTTAAGAGACAGGGTCTTACCCTGTCACCCAGGATGGAGTATAGTGGCACGATTATAATTTACTGTAGTCTCAAACTCCTGCGCTCAAGTAATCTTCCTGCCTCAGCCTCCCAAGTATCTAGGACTATAGATACATGCGACCATGCCCAGCTAATTTTTAAATTTTTTGTAGAGACAGGGTCTCGCTATCTTGCCCTGGCTGGTTTCAAACTCCTGGCCTCATGTGATTCTCCCACTTTAGCCTTCCAAAGTGCTAGGCTTACAGGTGTGAGCCACTACACCTAGTCAAGAGCTATATTCTTTTAATATTAGCTTTATAAAGTGTCTTTTAATCTATGTTTTAATCTGTAAAAAAAGATCTTAATTAATTCAGATCTCAGGAAATGGGTTTCCATTTATTTGCCCTCTAAAGAACCAAACACTTACCTCATATAGTTATTGTCATGATGAAATAAGATATTTTGATAGCTTATTCCATATAAAATGAAATAAGCTGTCAGTCAATGGTAAATATTATTGTTATTCCCTAAGAACAACTATTTTGGAACATACTGGTTCTCCTAGACTCCAAAAGTACAGTGTTCTCTTGGGTGTCCACAGCAACCATCTCAAGATGAGAAAAGATATTAATAATTCCTAAGTCTGGTCACTGAAATGTACACGAGTATGATTAGAAAGAATGAGAAGGGAATAGGGGCGATTTGCCCCAGCTTTACCGCCTGATCTGCTCCTCGGCCTCAGAGAGGGCATTCTCGGCAGTCACTCTTTGGTATCGTTCTTCTTCCAGCAGTTTCCTTAATTCATTCACTTCCCGTTTAGTGTTGCACAGCTGCTGCTGGGCTTCAGAAAAGCTTTAGTATAAAAGGAAAACAAACAGCATCACTAGGCGTACAACACAGTTGCTAACACAAGGGATTAAAAGTCTTCACAAGGTTATAAAGCAGGAAAATGTAAAGAAGTTTGAACACAAAGAATCTTTTTAAATTGAGGTGGAGATCTCAGGAACTCACTATCTTTCATTTTAATGCCATAAGGTGTTTGCTAGTGATGAAAGTGTTGATGTTGCTGTTTTTGCTTTACAAACTTTTCAAACACAATTGTTAGCTATTATTGTTAGTTTTATCCTCACATCACTTCTGTGAGGCAATGAGATAATAGGACATATTAAATCCATACTGTGGACTTCAATTCCATCTCGATGACTTCCCGATTTCTGTCCTTGCAGTATATCTCCAGGGTTGAGTACCACTCCTTACCTTTGCTGTGGCTCTCTTGGTTCCTCAGGGTCACTCTTTCTGCAAACTCCATTCTTTTCCTGGGGAGCTCCTGGAGCAACATCTATTTTCAGTGGTCCCTAGAATAAGAATGAGCTTAGCAATTCAGCAGTGAAAGCTCTTAAGAAAGTGTACTTGAGAAAATGAGAACTCGTTTAACATCAGAGAGAATGAGAAGTCATGAAGAGGAATATCCCCACTTACAATTCTCCTCAAGTTCAGATTTACAAGGGAGAGTCTTCTGCTAAAGCAGATCAATCACTTACACAAAACTCTTGCCTTGATCAGATTTTTCTCCCAGATTTTCATTCTTGGATTTCTTCATTTACAAGTTTAAGCCTTACCACTGAAATCTGCTTTTGTCTGGTGGACAGTCGTGGATTTTCCTGATCCTTCCCTTGCTTGCCAATCCCTCCCAGGCCCCTTCTCCTCCTTCCAGTCCTCTTCATCTCCATACTAATTCTCAGTCTCCTCCAATGCTCCAACTTCTACACAGCTGTCAATAGCGCTTCGTTTTGTTTCTCAGGCCCAAATCCTTCCACAGTCTTCTTATTACTTAAAGTAAAATCAGTATTTTCTCGGTTTCAGAGTTCAAAGAGTCTTGGTCATCACTGGTTCCCCACTCACTTTTTGGTTTCTCTCTCACCACCTCACTGATCTCTTTTCTTCTGATCTCTTCACTCTAATTTTTCTAAGACCTTACTTCCATTTTCAATTAACACTCCACTTTCTCCCATCATACCTACTTACATCAATCTCTTCCATCCTGCTCTTTTATGCGTAATCACTTGCACTCAATTTCATAACACTTCTCCCAGCCTCTTACCTTCTCTCTACTCACCACCTGCAGTGCTTGAACCTGTTTCTCCAAGACTGCACAGTGATTAAAAAGATCATGATAGTGCTGCTGGTTCTCACGAAGACTCTGACTGGTACCACAGAGCTGAATTGAAAGGTTATTCTTCTCTTCGAGTAACTGAGAGAACTAAAACAGAGGAAAGGATAAGCACCAGCCTACAGAACTCTTTCCCTACAAGCAGTGCTTAGGCTAATTGTCCTGAGTTTTAAGGATCTAATTTTTGTTATGCAAGACCTTTATTTCAAGGAACACAATTCTGGAGGAGTAGCAGCAGGAAGTCTTTTTTTTTTTTTTAATAGTTCCTAGTACATTAACTGAAAAACCATGAAGTAGAAACCCATAAGCAATCTCATAGGATAAGCTATCCCAGATATGTGAGAGGAGGAAGGCAGTAGCTTGGGTCCAAGTTTATGGTACCGAAAAATGACTATAATCCCCAGAAGTCAATATGGCTGAAGAAAGAGAACTGTTACCTAAAACTGTGAGACAAGGCGTGGTGGCTCATGCCTGCAATCCCAGCACTTTGGGAGGTCAATTTAGGCAGGAGGATTGCTGATCTCAGGAACTCGAGACCAGCCTAGGCAATATCAAAAGACCTCACCCTCTACAAGAAATAAAAAAAAACTTAACCATGCATGGTGGCAGGCACCTGTAGTCCCAGCTACTCAGGAAGCTGAAACAGAAGGATCACCTGAGTCCAGGAAGTCAAGGATGTGGAGAGCCGTGATTGTACTACTGCACTTCACCCTGAGCAGCAGAATAAGACCCCCCTCAAAAACTGTGTACACAAATATTACTTAGCAGATTCCTCAATACCTTAGAGAGTTACCAAGAGAACAAAATAAGAAATTATAATATGTGATAAGAAGGAGAAACAGAGTAAGCCCTAACATGCCTATGTATATGTAGTAAGTTGTATTGGGAGCATAGATGCTCACAGGTGAAAATATTTCAGTCCTTCAAAGCAGGACTCTCCTTTGTAACAGAGTAATAGGCTGTCAATCATCTTTCCTTGAACATATTCAGTATCAGGGTCTCACTACCTAGCAAAGCAACCCAAACCATTTTTTTTTTAGCATGTAAAAACCAAAAAATTTTTTTATATTGAATACAAATTTACCTATCATAGCTTCCGCCCATTGATTTGCATCTGGGCCTATGAAATTCTAATTCTAATTCCTTACTTGCAGCTGTCAAATGTTAAGTTTTGGTTATGAATAACATGCAGATATGTTAATAACCACAGAAATGGCTCTCCAAATTACCTACTGTAGAATCATGTACATTGTAGGAGAGGAAAGCAGTGTACCTGGCTGCATGTTCAATCTTTATTTGAAGATTCTTTTTTGTAAGTATTTGTGGAAAAAAGTTGACTCAAACAATGTTTTAGAGAAGAGAAGATAAAGATTTCTAGATACACTCTGGGAAAGGGCATTTGCTATAAACAGAAAATTAAAACAAGAAAATTCATACATACTTGTGAAAGTACTTTGTTAGGTAAAAACTGATCTCAGACGTAAGGTTATTTTTTGTGTTTGCCATTCTGAGGAGCAACTTTACCTTACAAAGTACTTTCATAAGTATCATCTTATTTGAGAGAGGTGGAAAAAGGATTTCTGTCTCCATTTACAAAATGACAAACAAAAATAGATGAGTAGCGATGTGTCCAATGTCATGTGGCTAACAGACGTCAGATCAAGATGCAAATGTGGTTCTTGATTCCAAGTCTAGAGCTCTAACTATTATCTGATGGTGTTCCATCTAAGAGTCTAGCAAGGAAAATTTAAAAAGTCATGTGGTTTTGGGGGTGGGGGTAGGAGTATTTAGTAAAAGGCTATAAATGTTTGAAAAGCAAATACTGATTTGAAGACAGAGAAAACTGGGTACAATAGCTACTGGGTTCTGAGACCAGGAATATACATGTTTTTCTCTTAACAGAGAAGGAAGTTAATTTTCCCAGCCACAGTGAATTATCCAAACCATACTAAAAATAAAAACAAAAACATTCCTCAGTGTTGAAAAAATTCGAACACTTTTTTCTTAGAAGATCTAGAGGAGAAAAGACAGAACTGTTAAAACTCACTGGGTCTGGGCGCGGTGGCTCAAGCCTGTAATCCCAGCATTTTGGGAGGCTAAGGTGGGGGACTGCCTGAGTTCACGGGTTTGAGAACAGCCCGGCAGCTTGGCAAGACCTAATCTCTACAATAAATTTTTTAAAAAATTAGCCATGCATGGCAGCGTGCGTCTATAGTTCCAGCTACTTGGAAGGCTGAGGCGGAAGGACTGCCTGAACCCAGCAGGTCGATGCTGGGGTGGCTGTGAGTGTGCCACTGCACTCTAGCCTGGGCAATGGAGATTCCAACTAAAAAACAAAAAACAAACAAACAAAAACCTCACTGGAAGCAAAAACTCCCTTAACTGAAGAGGTCTAATCACGTATGATAATCCACCCTTATATAAACCACCTTTAATATTTGCATTATTCTGCCTAGGGTAAGCATAAGTCCCCATAGTTTAGGGGCTGGCTACACTTTTACTGTAAATAAGGTTTTACTGGAACATAATCACCACATTCATTTATGTACCAGCTATGGCTACTTTTGTGCTACAACCGCAGAGATGAGTAGTTGAAACAAAAACAATGTAGTCTGTAAAAATATTTACTGTCCGGGCTTTTAAAGGAAAAGTTTGCTGACCTCTCCTCTAGCTCATAAGCCACTATATTTCATTGTACCCACCCCTGTTAAAAACAAAATAAACGTGAACAAATTAGACATCGTATCACTAATTATCCCTCTCATGTTTTTAAGTTTCCAGCACATTCTTATGTTATATACAAACATCCGACCATACTGGTAAAAATACAACAATCCTTCATTATCCATGGGGTATTGGTTCCAGAACCATCTCCCTCCATACCAAACTCTGAGGATGCTCAAGTCCCTTATATAAAATGGTATGGCGTGGTCTTTGCATATAACCTATGAACATCTCCTATATACTTACAAAACTTTTAAAAATTAATGCATAATAGATGTACATAGTTTGGGGGTACATGTGATAATGTAATACATTTATATAATTTGTAAAGATCAAATCAGTGTGCCTGGGATATCCACCACCTTAAATATTTGTCTTTATGCTAAAACCATTCAAATTCTTCTCTTTTAGCTATTTTGAAATGTATAACAGATTATTGTAAACTTCAGTCATCCTACTGATTTATCTAACATCCTACTGATTTATCTAATTTCTTCTATCAAACTATATATCTGTATCCATTAATCAATTTTTCTTCATTGTCCCCGCCTCCCTACTCTTATCAGCCTCTGGTATCCACCAATCCACTATCTTCATGAGATCTGTTTTTAAACTTCCAAGTCTGAGTGAGAACATGCAATATTTGTCTTTCTGTGCTTGACTTATTTTATTTATATTGTCCGCCAGTTCCATCCACATTGCTGACAATGACAGAATTTCATTCCTTTTTATGACTGAATGATACTCCATTGTGCATATATACCATTTTCTTTTTTTTTTTTCCCCTACTCCCCCACCCTCCTCTTTCCCCTACACCACATTTTCTATATTCATTTATCCACTGATAGGCACTGAGGTTGATTCCAAATTTTGGCTATTGTGAATAGTGCTGCAATAAACATGGAAGTGCAGACAGCTTTTTGATATATTCATTTCCTTTCTTTTGGATATATACACAGTAGTGGGGTTGCTGGATCATATGTAGCTCTATTTTTAGTTATTTGAGGAATGTTCATACTGTTCTCCATAGTGACTGTATTAATTCAAATTCCTACAAAGTGTACAAGGGTTCCCCTTTCTCTGTACCTTTGTCAGCACCTGTCACAACCTGTCTTTTTAAACAAAAGCCATTTTAAGCAAGGTGAGATGATATTTCACTGTCGTTTTAATTTTCAGTTCTCTGATGGTTAGTGATGATGAGCATTTTTTTTCATATGCCTGTTAGTCATTTGTTTGTCTTTTGATAAATGTCTATTCAAATTTTTTGCCCATTTTTCAATTGGATTATTTGGGTTTTTTTACTGCTGAGTTGCTTGAACTCCTTATATGTTCTGGTTATTAATCACTTGTCAGATGGGTAGTTTACACATATTTTCTCCCATTCTGTTGGCTGTTTCTTCACTCTGTTGATTGTTTCCTTTGCTGTACAAAAGCTTTTTATCTTGATGTAACCCAAGCAAAAATAGACAAATGGAATCACATCAAGATAAAAAGCTTCTATACAGCAAAGGAAACAATCAACAGAGTGAAGAAACAGCCAACAGAATGGGAGAAAATATCTGCAAATTACCCATCTGACAAGGGGTTCTGGTATGTTGATTCTTCTCTGGGTGCTGGTTATACAGAGGTGTCTTTATGAAAATATACCATGTTGTAGTTATGATTTGTATACTTTTCTGTACACTTTACATCAACAAAACATTTACCTTTTTTCAGTTGCTACCCACCAAAATGATTTCATCATCTACAAATAGTACTGAATTTCAGTTTAAAGTACTATCCTTGGATGACAAGTACTCCTTGCCTTCTTGTCTCCAGTCATGGAAAAAAGAAACTGAATTCTAGTCTAGCAGGAAACACTTACTTTGCTGTTCAGTTGCTGAATTCTTAATTCTTTTTGGTGAATTTCCTTTAAGCTGTCATTGAGTTGGGTCCTGAGAAGTTCTGTTTCATAAACCAGGTTTTGCGACCCATCTAGGGAAGCTGATGTCTCTGGGGATGCCTGTCAGGACACAAACACTGATGAAATTCTCTCCCAAGATTGTTCATGCTTAATTTCTTCCCTCTAGAAATCCTATCCACCCCATAGGAAGTCATAAGATGGCTTTCCTAGTAGTGGCAGACAGGTACTTAATTCATAGGAAGTTGATGCTTTCTGGGTTGTGGTTACCAACCAGCATTGAAATTACTCACTTGTCTTTGGTATTGCATGCTGAGAGGCTGAGTCTGGAAGGAAGAAGACCTCAATTCCCTTATGAGATTCTGTAGATGAATGAGTTGCTGATCTTTATCTGAGATAGACATGAGGTACTGATCCTTCATTCTCCTCTCATGTATTTCCCAGGAATTCTTCTCCTTCCTAGAAAAAACATGATATAATCACAGGTTGAAATATACTTGCGAGACAAAGGTGAATCGTTCCATATTTAAAACAGTATTATGAACCGTTAGCGATGTGGTAAAGAAAATATATAAACAGGACTTCTGGCAAGATGGCGACGGGGCAGCCTGGTCTATGAGACCCTCTGCAAAGGAGAACACAGAGGGTCTCTGGCTCTCTCCCCAGGGGCTGCAGATCCCAACGTCGGCAGCCTGCTCTTCACACAGAGCTTGGCCGTCGCCACCACTGGGGCATGGCAGCAGTCTAGACAGCCACTGCAGCTGCAGACACAGCAGCCGCTGGTGCTGCAGCGGCCTCCGGGGCGGCCATAGCGCATCGTGCCACCTGTGCCTGAGGCGATCCACAACTTCAGTCCTTGAAGCCCCTGCAGGCAAGACATGCTGGGATCGCTGCTACCTCTGCTGCCACCGTGACTTCCTGCTGCCCGTGTGCCCTGAGGCAGGCTCCCATCTCTGGCCTCTACCCGGCTCATGTCTGGCTCCACCCCCTCTGGGGCTGTGAGATATCACCACCTGCTGGCGATTCAAGGTAACAACACCGAAATGGGACAAACAAGCTTGAAAAACAGACACAGGCCAGATTTGAGTGGTGAACTGAGTGGTGATCTGAAGTCCTTCACAGCAGGCCAGGGGCAACTGACCCTAACTGTGAAGAAATTTACCAGCTTGAGAAGACAGCTAGAAATCAGAGCTGAAAGGACATTGAACTTTTAAACGAAAAGTCTCAGAGTATGCTTGATTGGTTCTGTTAGTTTAATGACTTGATTCTCTTTCTACTGTTTTGTTCCTTTTTTTTCCTCTTCCTTTTCTTCTTGTTTCTCCTCTCTGTAAACCATATCTTTGTATAGAGGAACAGCACATCAATAAGGTGGTTGGTTAGCTTGTATGTTAGCATCATTGTATGTTTTCGATTTTTTGTATGGGAGTTGGTTAGTCTGTAGCCGTGGTCTATTGTTTTTGTTTCAGTTTAGGTCTCTCTCTCCATTTGTTGGTACACTCATCTGTTTCTCCCCTTACTCCTCTCTCCACCCCTATCTTCCCCCTACTGTCTGCTCCATTCTCTTCCCTCTGCCAACCTCATTTTATTTCAGGGAGTAAACCTATAGCCCCACTGCACGAACAGATTCCAAGGCAGTGGGAAGTGAGTTTCAGATTATCCATACACCTGTCGGCGGATACCAGGACCTGCAGATAGATTTTGAATCACAGCTCCCCCCTTAGGTAAATCTCAAAACTGCAAAAAGGACCACCCCCAACCTACAATGCAACTCCAGAACTGAACAAAGTAAGAGGGCATACATAAAGAAGAATAGGATACTGAACAAACAGAAGTAAAAGCAACCCCTCTACCCTTGAGTAACAGATTTAAAGAAGATGGTTACATGGAGGGAAGGAAAAAGTAGGGAGGGAAAAAAACCACACAAATGAAGAAAAATCAAAAGAAGAATATAGGTCTCACATAGACCCCTGGGAGGTCAGACACTGAGAAAATAGACTCTGGAACACAAGCAATGAAGAGCCCCCAGAATGACTGGTCACATGAAACAAACCCAGACATCAAGACATTAATAGAGAGAATTAAAAAAATTGAGGCGAGACAAGA